TCAAACAAGAACGCCAATAAATCTCTCAAAAAATAAGCAACTACAACATTCAGTTGTTGTTATTCTCAAAGAACATCTATTTTTGATTGAACTAGTTCCTGTGCCTTGCGGAGTTCTCTTAATAGAAAAATCTAGTAAATGAATTTTGGTGCTCTCTTGGCTTTCACTCAACCTAAAGATCAGTATTTTTTTACAATCAAGAAAATAGTCAATTTCATCATTATTTGAAATTTGTAATTTTAGAGATACCAGCTGCATTATTATTATGATGCAAAAAAGATAACACGATTACTACTGGTTGGTTTTTGCCAATCAGAATTTTGCACTTCGTTAAATTTCAGGTCTTTAAAATTACCTCAATTCGTGCAACAAAGGGTTTATAGATAAGATAAGAAAAAGTCGTTAATTTCATCATTATTAGTAAATAATGGTGAAGTAACGACACTTAAATGGATTATGTGAAAAAAAACTACCTGCTAGATCATATTTTATGACCAACTGTGACGACTCAATGGATTATAAGGGATTGTAAATACACATTAGGAATTTCTAGAGAATACTGGGTTATTCAAGAATTTGGATATTTTTCTGGAAAAACCAAAATGTATAGAATTTGTTGTTGTGAAATTTAGCACTATTTGTTTTTTTTTTTTTTTGCATTAAATATGATCTGCAGGACACGTAATCTGTAAACATCATAATGCTGACGTTTCAAAGGTACGAAGATACGATTTTCCACATCTTTTATATTTTGTAGATCTTTATGAAATTATAAGACGATTTGCATAGTTATAGTTGTATGTCTGTTGACTTTAGAAATCTACCAGATAAATAATATACTTTTCAACATATCAGTTATTCTTAAAAAATTTCCAAAAAATTTACCGATCAGGGTGACGATGACCATACGCAAGTTGTAGTGAAGTAAACCAGAGTGTCTTGTGGGAATCGAACCCATAACCCCCAGACCGATAAGCAAGCACACTAGCATCAAGCCTTACGGGTAACACATTTTTCTAAAAATTAGTTTAACAAAATGTTTAAAAGTTTGAAATTGAAGTTGTATAATTTTTATCGGCACCCCTGAAACGTTACCATATTAAAACTTCACATTCAAGTAAAGTTTTATTAGAATATTTCCTAAAATATGTTAATGATCACATACAAGTAGCAGAAATCGTCGGGGAATATAAGACATTGATACCAGACAGGAGAACGTGTTCAAGCGGAACATTAGAGCACTCTTCTGCTGGAATCTGTAGTTTTACGGATGGCTCTAAACTAGAAGAGAAAACGGGTCTGTGGATGTATATTAAAAACCCGGAAAACATCTATCTTTCAGCAAGAAGTCCTCTTTGGTACTTTTAGTGGTAAGTTCTGTATCATGTGGGTAATACGTTACACGGGGATAATAAGCAAAAGCGAATGAACTTGGTATAAAGTAAGGGATTTGGTTAATGTGGTAGTTTACAAACTGTCAAGTTGAGTCGTAATGACCCAGTTTTGACAAGACCACACCCCTGATGTATTGTATGGTATATTAATGTAGTATTAGATCCGGCCTATTTTAGTGAGGTATCTCAGTAGGTCATTGAGTCTGGACGCTGATAGTTGCCAATAAGGTTGGTAGTATCTATCTGGGAATTATTTCCTCTTGACAGCTAGGGAAAGGCATTCACGGAGGAGTAGAAGACAGTTTCCTTTTATCCTTTCTCATTGAAAGAAGGCCACATTAAACTGGCCCCTCTGCATGTGTCTTGACTATTCCAACTATTTTCAGATTTTCATGAAAGAACCTGAGCATACTACTTTGGTAAATTCCTACTGAAGGGGATGTTGGCTCCTCTACATACATATGTTAAGATTATTCTACATATTTTCGCCCTTTGAAGAACTTTGGATAAATGTATACTGAAAGATAGGGAAGTTGATATATTCAACTTGACCAATGCAAAACCGTTCGATGATACATGGGCGTTAGAACTTAGAACGACTACTCAGTGGGTAGGAATACTGAAATCCTATAGGGTGATCCCATTAACATCAGGACTAGAAGCTTCTTCTGAATAAATAAGTATGAGGTTAGTATCATGATATATATTCATAGTAGACCCACAGGTTTACGAGCACAACTATGTATTCAACATCCCATAAGGCCTCTAGGAATAATGAAAAGATGGGTAGAACCACAAAAATCCTATGGGATGGACCTGATGAGAGCAAACGAGAAATCTCCTCAAAATGAGCGAGTCCGAGGTTTGTATGATGGTACGTACTCTGAGTGGATAAACAGGACTACAAGCACGTCTATACAAAATTGGACGTGCGGATTCAGACGAATGTAGAGCATGTGGAGAGAACAATGAAACTCTGAAGCACTTTCTTTGCCACTGTTAGGCATTCGTCGAAGTTAGAACCAAGTATCTTGAAAGTGATATTATTCCGGAATATTCTTAGGAATTACGTCCAGGAAACTGAGTTTCTGAACATTGAAAAACAGTGAATTTTTTCATGAAAAAGAGCTTACAACAGGCCCGATAGTGGCCTAGGTGTATTTCTTCGGATTTGATCTAGTATACATCCTCCTATCAACCTAACCTATGTATAAGTACAACATTGAACGCACGGACTCAGACGAATGTTAAGCATGCTGAGAGGGTAGTGAAAAGCTGTATCACTATCTCTGTCATTGCCAGGCTTTCATATAAATTTAATCCAAATATCTTGGAAGATATTACATTCCTCACAAACACTGATTGGAAAATTCTAAGGAAATATGTATGTACATCCAGGAAACTGAGTTTCTTAATATTGGACTATAACTCATTTCGTAGATCGTTTAATATAAAGATCACATAATAGTGGCCTAGGTATATATTTTCGGTCGGTACACCAGCCACCGACTTCCCAGTTGACTAGCTATTTTAACATGTGCTTGTCCTACTAGGAAGTCAATCTTCACCCCATAGATTACAAAGAGGCAGTTTGTTTTTAAGTATCCTCTCTCTCGCTTACAAAGCGAACTCTTAAATGATGATTATCTTCACCCTCGTTTACCAAGAGTACATCCGTGACGAAAGACGAATTAGAGCCAACCAGGTGATTAGACGTTAGAGGAAATTACTGTCTTTTTCAGATGCATTGACTTTTTGTCGAACTGCTGGGAATCTAATGCGAATATTTCATTGTTTGATTTTTAGGTATCCCCTCTCTCGCTTACAAGGGGACACTAAAGTGACGATTATTTTCAACCTCGTTTACCAAGAATACATCCGTGACGAAAGACGAATTAGAGCCAACCAGGTTAGTGGAATTCACTGTCTTTTTCGGATGCATTGACTCTTTGTCAAACTGCTGGAAATCTAATGCGAATATTTCACAGTTTCCTAAATCTATATTATTTTGAAAAACCTATTTGGGAAAGATTAATGTTCTCATGCGCTTCGTTACTTTTTTCTTTTCAATTGAACTTGACAAATTTTGTATGATGGAATATTTAGCCCTTTTGTTAAACTACAAACAACCCAATTTTTTTAGGATTTCGATTTTGTGAAAATTTAATAATCTGGAAAAAAAATAAAATTACAATGAAAAGAATCATCACATAAATGAAATTGTACGTGATTTTTAACAGGAGATTCATAAGTTTGTTTCGTGTTTTTTCATCATTTAATTTTTTTGCACGAATTAATACATATCGAAAAATATTGTATGTATGTATGATTGTGTGTATGTATATTGTTTGTATAATTGTGTGTGAATGTGCATCTTTCTTTTGTACGCAGGCTATTACAAAAAGTACTTTAAAAATATGATTAACATGTAAAGTTTGTTTGTAACAATTCCAAAAAAAAAAACTTTAATATACTTTATAGAGACTTAGCTAGGTATATAGGGGGTTCATATTGGAAGCAACTGATGGTTCTTAATCAGATATACAGAAACTGTTGTCATATGAAATCATGTTAAAAATTTTCTTTTAAAGTCTGTTTTGAATTTACACTTCCAGTAATTTTCGCTATTAATATAGGAATTTCATCAGAATCTGAATTTTTAAAGAACTTTGCAGTCGTCTCTTGGTGTTTGTATTTGTAAATGTATTAAATAAAATAATTTCTCTGTCAAGTCTTTATTTTATTATTTTTTGTTGTTGTATCCCTTTTTTGTATTGTTTCGTATATATTTTTATTGTGCTGAGTTGTGTTGTTTTGTTCTGTTCAATTCTCTTGTTGTTGTTATTTTATGACCAACCGACCACATGCGTCCTCAGCCATAGCCTACAGAGTCACGTACACCATTAATGAAAAGATCTCAACAAAAATCAGGCACAACCGGCTAGAGGTGCCAACCGAAATGGAAGAGAAACTAAGCCAGGAGAATACTGCCAAAGGAAACTAAAAGGTAATAAATATGTATAGAAATAAATGTGAAAGAAACAGGTTTCCGGGGGGAACAATTAAATAAAGTAGAGTCAAAGCAAAACACAAAACTCCATAAAGTAAATACGGAGCACAATAACAAAACGGAGTAGTTCTAACAGCTGATGGAAAATTACAAGAAAAACACACAAAAATAAAATCAAGTTACTTTGACTGACTTTCGACGGTATACTCCTCCCGTAACTTCACATCCTTATAAACTCGCTTACACCACTACAAACATATAATATTTGTATGTATTTTTTGCTACCTGAATTTAATCTATATAGAAGAAGGATTTAAGAGCTAAGGGGGAAAAACTCACTCGCAAAAGTATCTTGTAAATATGTATCTCATTTTTTGGCATTTTTACTCATTCTCTTACCTACTCTTTGCCACTAGCAAATACTCCGACAAGAGAAACCAACCCAACGAGAACTTCACTCAATTTCATATGTTTTACCAGGTATACAAATGGACTAACCAAATGAGTAAAGTAGCTGAGAATTGACTGTTGAAAAAAAAAACTCTCTCAAATGCTATTGAGTGAAAATGAATCGTATAAATAGCGTTGTTGTGTAGCCGGTTTGTTATAGTAGCTTCGATACATTGCTGAGATACAGATATAATTAGAAAAGAAATCCAAGTGATTCAAACAAAAGTGTTACGATATTAAAATCGGCCATCTGTTTTAGAAATTTAGCGTATTTTTTCGCTCGTTGAAAAATTAACACCGAAAAAAGAAGAGTTCTATTTTTTTGAAAAAAACTTAAACAAGAAAATAATATTTAAATAATTATTGCCATTCTAAAGCTAAAAGAAAATTGTTAACGGACCTTTTTACAAAAGGAAAGCCATTAAAGAAAAAAAGTGATAAAAATACAACTTTAAAAGAAACGTGCTGTGATCAATAGAAAACGTTAACAACAAAAAAACTTGTAAATTTATATACAAGTTAAAGAAAATAATTAAATTACAAAGAAAAAAGACAGTAAAAATTGTGATATTATTTTGCCAAAATACAAATCCTAATAACAATTAAGGTTTTTGGCTAACAACAACAACTAAACGGTTTAGATACTTTTCGAAACTGCTAGAAGTTTCTGGAAGAAAAAAAAAAACAAATTTGAAAACAGTGTCTAACAACACATTTGTTTGAACAAAGCAAGAGACCACAACAACAATATGAAAATGGAAATTTTGGCAGTACAACAATTATACCATCCAGCAGATTTCAATGGACTTGGGTCTAATAAAATAAAAGGTAAGTTTTAAAAGAAAACAATAACAAAAAAAATATTTAAATAAATTGTGAAAATAGTTCAGAAAACAGCATGGAAACAAAGTAAATTGTAGATTTTAATGAAATTTCAAAGATTTTTTAAAAATAATTTAATATTTAATAATATTTTGTTTTAAATTAATTTGCCGTCGGTAAATTTTAAATTTTACTTCCGTTTTCATGTTTCCTTGTTTATTATTAGCTACCACTCATTCTTTCTTATCTGTTTTTTATAAAATTCTTAAAATAAATGTTTAATTGACTTGTTCATTTGAAAAAAAAAACTAATCGTCTTTATAAAAAACTTTTATTTAAAATAATTAAGACTTTCTCTCGTATAAACGTTCTCTCACCCTGCTTGCTTGCAATCAACCCCTGAGTCATAACGCATAAACGTTTTTGTCTCTGATACGTTTCGAAACGTTACATTTTAATAGCTATACGTTTAGCTTGTTGTCAAGCGCTTCAAAAACGCTTCTAGTGTGTGTAATGACCTCGACAATAAACAGCTCTAGCAGGCCAGCAGCAGACCGTTAGACAGTCTGTCCGTACGTCCGTCCGTCCGCATTAGACAAAAACAAAAAAATAATAAAAAAATCAATTGTTAGCATGTGAGCGGGACTGAGGAGCTGCTTTCAAATTAACTACAACAACAACAGCAAAAGTACACAAAGAAAAACGTGCTACGTGCGTTTTTCCACATACACACATGTTCGAGAATAAATTAATTGATTTCATGTTTCCTGGCAGTAGCTAGTTGTATTTCCTTTAAACCTTTTAACAGTGAATAACAAAATAATTATGTAAGAAACTTTTTACTAACTTTTTATTTTATTATTTTCTCTATTTTAGATTGGACCTCACCTTTAACACCGCCACCAGAGGCCTCTACAAAGGCCACCACAAATTTACCCTATGCCCAAACAAATACTACCAACAAAATCAAAAACAGTATTAACAATCAGAAAAACAAACGTTTATCGGAAAACAGCAGTAAACGCAATTCCCCAGCTGTGGCCACTAACCAGAAGCCCACTTTGAATTCGCTCAGACAAGACAACAATAATGTTTTCTATTGTGAGGATTTAGATGCGGCTGCAGTTAATGATCTGTCTTTGCGTTTGTTGGACGAATTAAGATTAGCCAAGTCGCGTCATTTGTCGTGTACGGAAGTGTCATTGCCCTGTGATCTAACGCCACGCATAGCAGCCGAGATTTTGCGTTTGAGTGATCGTGAACCCTGTGGCCTGAGAGGCTGCACCATCTATATAGAATTTGAAGATGAACCCAATAACTCTAGACGCATTGCCTCGCTTAAGTTGGACTCGGAAACCGTGTCGACATTTGAAATCTACTTGACACTGCGTCAAGATCATCGCGGCTGGACCTCGTTACTGCCACAATTCATGAAGGGTTTGTCGCGCACAATTACCATAAGTCCCGAATTTATCATCACTAAAAACAAGCTGTACTCTCCTTTGGCGAGTACAAGTTATAGTTATACCAGTTCTAAAGCCATATCAACACCCACCGCGTAAATTTCTCAATTATGCCTGTCGTGTACTTATGAATATGTCTTGAAGTGTTTCCACACACCCACCACAATATGTTGTTGTTTTTTTTTGGTGGTTTGTTTTCAAAAAAACCACCAAACTTACTTTCCCCCCCCCACCCGAAGCTCTTCATTTAGATCAAAAATCTCAGCAAATCATTTGGAATTTTTGAGTTGTATGGCTTCAGACATATTTCTTTTATTGTCGTGTATATCTCGTATCATTTCCTTAATAAGAAATTCTACTTTGAATTGAATTTTAAATTTAAGTCGAATATTTTGTTTTTATAATGATCACAATGATCATTATGATTGCTATACCTAAGAGTATAACAATCAGTTTTCTTTTCTTCTTGTAAATGACCCGTCGAGTTAGAATTAAAGGTTACGATCCTTCAAAACAAGATCGTACATTATTCTTCACTTAATATATTGTTTATTTTAACTCAAGGCCAATTATTATCGTATAAAACTCATGAAAATAAGAATGTGATAACTTATTAAGATGCTAAGTTTTTTTTTAAATTTAATTTTTATCTAACTATATATATATTTATAAAATAATCATAATAATATTTGTATGTATATCATAATTATAAGTCTTTGATCTTAAACGATTTGAAGATGAAACAAAGAAATGTGTTAATTAATTTAAAAATTAAAACCTACAACAACAATAACAACATCAAAAGAATATTTATGTGAAAAGTATTGAACACTATGTGTCCAACTACAATTCCAAGCAAAGAATTTTTAAAATTTTTTGTAATTTTTATTTAAAATTATTTTATTTAAGAAATAATCATCTATTTGTATGTATTTTTTTGTCCAAATAATTTGTGAAAGAAAATCGAAAACAAAACTGCGATATCCTGCATGCAGATTGTGTGCATTTAGTTTGTAAATTGAAATTGAAACTTAACGAAAAAAAAGCAAAAAACTCTCATTTCTCTTTATTTAATCTTATTATTTTTGTACTGTTCTTTAATTATTTTATAATTTTTTTTCTATAAAATTCACAATGTTCTCATTCATTTTAAAATGATATTCATTCATAATGTTTTTTTATTTTTATTATTTTTTTTTTTGTTTGTTCATTAATATATTTTAGTTATTAAAAAAACAAAACGTATTTATTTAGTATATGCGAAAACAAAATACAAGAAAAACCCATAAGTTTTTAAAAAAATTTATTAATTTTTAATTATAAAACATGTATTATTTTCTTTTTTATACGAATATATTTATAAAAAAAAAAACATGTCCTCAACAAATAATATAAACAAAACGAAAAACAAATATGTATTAAAAGAAATGTTAAATATAAAAAAACAAATCAAATGTTTTTTTTATATATTGTATTTAAAACAAAAAATGATCTTAATTTTGTAACCAAAAAACAATTTTTAATTTAAAAATGAAAAAATAATAAAAAAAATATTCGGAAGTTATTTGATTGGATTCTATGGTTTCTGAAAGAATAACGGAAGAATGTATTAAAAACTCAAACAATTGTGCTGTTTTTTTATTCTTCGAAAAAAAGGGGGTGGAATTAAATTATATATGTACATACATATGTACAATATACATACATATGTATACATTAGGGTGTACCGTGGACCACTTTTTGTAAGAATACCTTTCGATGCGTATACATACTTTTTATATCTCTTGTGTTCAGTACATTAATAAGCATTGATTGAGAGTGATTCCTACATGAGATTCTTAAAAAGGCTGCTCCTCTGGACACCCTAATATATATATACATACATATAAAATATTTAATTTTTGAACGAAAATTATACCCAGTGTGCTTCGCTACCTTAACAACAATATAATTAAAAAAAACTTTACAATTTTTCATATTAACCTTTTTTGGGAAGAACCATTCCCATTTTTGCTAGTCCTCAATTTACATGAACACATATACATATTTAATATGGATTTCAATGTTGTCCGTGCAAAATTTAAGGAATCAAGCTCTTACGGTTTCCCAGATATAAGAAGTTTTGTATTTAATTCATATGGAAGGTGAAACGCCTCTTATTGCTTGTCCGGTCTATTTCCCCTCAAATTTACATGAATATTGACATGTTTGTGCAAAATTTGAGGACTGTAGCTTTAATAGCCACTGTTGTTAGTCCATTCCCATTTTGGCTAGTCCGTAATTTACATGAACACATACATATATACATATTTCATATTGATTTCAATATTTCCCGTGTAAAATGTAAGGATTCAAGCTCTTATGGTTTCCCAGATATAGGAATTTTTGTATTTAATTCATATGAGAAGTGCCATGCCCCCTATTGCTAGTCCGGTCAATTTTCCCCCAAATTTACATAAATGTAAAAGATGTTCGTGCAAAATTTGAGAACTCTAGCTTTAATAGTTTCCCAGATATTCGAATTTTTGTAACCTATTCATTTAGGAAGTGCCAGGTTACCTATTGTTAGTCCGGCCAAAATTCTCCAAACGTTAATATGGATTTTAATGTTATCCATGCAAAATCTTATGATTACAGCCCTAAACTTTCCCAGACATAGTACTTTTTGTATTTAATTCATATGAGAAATGTCAAGCCCCTATTGCAAGTCCGTTTTTTTTTTGAAATGTTGCATGGATGTCAAAGTTCTTTATGCAAAATTTGAAGATTCTAGCTCAGATATACGAAGTTTTGTATTTAATTTAATTTTATACACATCCGTTGTCTAAATGTTAACAAACGTGGTAAGCTAGGCAACGGATTGTTTGTCAATAGTGAGCTTACCACGTTTCTTAACATTTAGACAACGGAAGTATATAAAATTTAGATTTCGACAACGAATTGTTGCAATGTTGTCATCATTACATAGTGTTGTGGTACGTTTGTATATACTTTGACAACGGATGGATTTAAAAATTATAAACAGTTTGGTGTCAATATTTCTTTTTCCCTCTGTGCACACATTCATTTTTATATACATAGACATATTTTGCTGATGCTTTGCAGGTCAACAAATGTTAATTTCTGAGGCACGCCATACAAAACTGCAACTATATAACAGCGCTAATTCGCCATTTTAAAGCAATTTAATCTTGTTTTATCACAATAACGATCTAACCACTGTTATATTTGATCCTTCTTTGAGATCTGTATCTTAACCTCAACTTTGAGAAAAATCCGGGGTTTCGCCATATTCGTTCATGGTAAATTCGTTAGGAATTCGACTTTTTTCGAATATAATTACGAAAAACATGTTACACTTTAGGGTACTATATATTAAGATATTTGAATTAATATATGGTAACCCTTGACCCGAAAATATTCCTTGTTATATGATTGTCTTGGTATTAAAAAATAGGCAATATTAAAAAATAGTCAATCAATACACATATTTTTACCATACATATGTGCTTCCCTAAGTCTTTTAAATATCAATTAGAACACGGTCCATAAAGGGGTGGGCTAGAGGGTTAAAATTACTACCACATAATCCTTATTGACGCCTACGAAAATTTCATTAAACCAAACGTACTTTAAAAACAATTAAAACTTGATAGGGCCTAAAAGACTTTTTTATTTTCGAGGTAATGTGTTTATTTTTGACTAAAATATTTAGAGTTTGTTAAACTAATCAGTCTCGTGTTCTAGGAAATTCCTAAAATTAAATATTAAACAAGTAAGAAAGTATAGTCGGGCGTGGCCGACCATATGATACCCTACACCAGTTATGAATATTAAATGTGATTTATTTTTCATAATAAAGCATTTATCTTCAATATTCCCTTGTTCCGATACATTTAAGCAATTTATGGATGAAAATCTAATTTTCTGAAAGAGGCTTTATATGGGGGCTAGGGGCAAATATGGACCAAGCCCGATAAAATTTTGTGAATATATTTATATTTACATAATATTTTATTGTGCTAAATTTCATCGCGATATTTGTGTTTATAAGTTAATTTGGGACATTCAAGTAATTTTCTGAAGGGGACTTTGTATGGGAGCTAGGGTCAAATGGGGCCCGATCTTTATGAAATTTGGCAGGGTCATCCAGACTTCTATAAAACTTAGTTGTGCCGCATTTTATCGATATATCTGTAAATTTAACAAAATTATGAGCTCAAAAGCCCTTTTCGGGGGGTTCTGTTCTATGGGGGCTAGGTGAAATAATGGACCGATTTCAACCATTTTCAATAGGCTTCGTCCTTGGGTCAAATAAAACGTGCGTGCCAAATTTCATCCAATTATCTTGAAAATTGCGACCTGTACCTTGCGCACAAGGTTTACATGGACAGCCAGCCAGCCAGCCTGCCAGACGGACGGACGGACAGACGGACGGACATAGCTTAATCGACTCAGAAAACGATTCTAAGCCGATTGGTATACTTTAAGGTGGGTCTAGGACGAATATTTTTGTATGTTACAAACATCAGCACAAATCCAATATACCCTCCCCACTAAAGTGGTGTAGGGTATAAAAAGTACCCAACATGCTACTAGATTTTATTGGTTTATAATGAATCATATGTATCTCCCATATATTAGAAACCAACTACGAAAAACAGTTCAAGGTCTTTAAAAAATTTAATTTGGTTTTAGATAAATTTTTGATTATACTTAGTTGATTTTTTGCACATTAAAATAATGACAGTAAATATTATAAAATTTCGACCATTTAAAACTTCTAGAATGTCTAGATATTCCAATTTTCATATCATCTCTCTTCTAAATAAAGTCCCTAATTATCATTATTGAAAATGTGTAAACCGTTCCATAACCTGGAGCCACTAAAGCCGGAAAAGTAATATAGTTTTTGACTGATGCTTTTAAATCTCGCGTGTAAATCTTATTTACTCTGTAAGTAATAACGTTCCATATCATTAAACCCGTTTCTTGGCCAGAAACTTTATACATATGTATGTATGTTTGTACATACAAAGCTATTGATGAAATAAACCAGTCTTAACCTTCTTCATTAAGATTGCTTTGTCTTGAAGTCAGTAGGTAAATCATGTCAATATAAACATGAATTAAGTTTTGTTTATGGTTTTAAACACAATGTTGCCATTTAAGCTTTTTTTCATTTTAAATGAGCGATTATTTAAGAAAATATTCCGTGTCTGTAATGTGATCAATTATGGGCCGATCTTAAAAAATATTCTTTATTATTTAGTTCCGACAGAATGGTCCCTGTGAAGGAGGGGTACCTTTCAACGGGTCACTATGGCACATATATTAGATAGCCGGAGTACTTGAGTAAATTACTAGCTCTGCTACCTGGATAACAATCTTGCCGCGATGTAGTGGCTTAGTGCTGACTATGGTTCTCGGTCCTGATGTTAAATTCTTAAAAGTCTACATAACATATTACCTGTTTTAATACCATTCTTTTCAGCACTATCCCATTCCTTCCCTTGTAAGGTTAAGGTCATTAATAGAAAAGCCGGCAACCTGAATGGTAAAAGAAGATTAGTCGCTAACAGTTTCCCTCTGGAGCTACGTTACGGGCCGGTTGCAATGCCTAGTCTAGTCCATGTACGTCGTCACTTCATGGATCTTCCTTTACGTGCTGTCTTCATCTGGCCTCTAGCCAAGAGACCTTGGTCAGTATGTCAGGTAGTGTGAGCGACTCCACAATCCTCAAAATCCTTGGCAAAAACACCTTCCCAATCTGAAGCCAATTGGGGAAAAAACTAGCAAGAAGGAAGTGTCACAAATACATCCTTAAAGCGAGATATGTCAAGGTACAATACATTCTAGACAAGATGGCCAATAATGCTGCAAATGTCACACCACATGCACGCGATGAAGATTGCGTTAAGTATGAAGTTGTGGTAGACGCGTACTAGAAGTTTATGAAAAACGTACCCAGCACATCCAACGAACGAGGCAGGTGAACCTCGTATAAACATATAAAACGATTGGTCGGTCAGTGGTTAGTTATGCTGCTCCAGTGTGGTCACCTTCGCTCAGTGATACCCAGTGAAGAAACATGCCGCCCTAAGGACTGTAACGGGCTGCTTACAAATAACCTCGGAACATCACCTGCACGAGGAAACTAAGGCCCTTCCAGTCAAGAAACACAATGTCATGTTGATTAAACAGTTCCTCCTAGGATGTCATCGGTGGAGTCATCCCAACTTTAACATCACACAGTTCGATGATCACCCGAGGCATGTCAGGAAAACATATATACATATGTGAAGGATCCATTGGATCAGTCCTCGTATACAGCAGCTTTGAACGATATTCATAGAGACGCCATAAATTCCGCGGGCGCAGGATACCGCATGAATGTGGTACTTGGAGGTCGACCACAGCCCATAGCAGACACGGAAGAAAACCTGTGGCTGAAAACAAGAGTAGTTCTGGCACAACCGATCTGGATGGAGCAACAGGCTCAATGCCTACTGGTCACGTATAGACCGTGCCGTCCCCAACGAATGTTCTGCCTGTGGTCAAAGTCCCCATGACACCCACCACATATTCAGCTGCCCAGCCAATCCTACTTCACTGCGTCCAATGG